AAATTTTTTGCAGAAAAAGTGACAAGAAGGAAATGAGAGGAGAAAGCCTTCTCTCCTTATTTATAGGGGAAGGGGGAGTTTGGGCACAAAGGCCAGAGGCGTGACATCATAAGTAAGCCTAAGAAAGTTACTACAAATTTAGTCACGTTGCAAGTTCAGCCTCTTCAATCACGTTGCATTCATAGATTTATGGCTGTTGTTATTTGTTCAAATGACGAGGTAAATAGACAATTCCAAGAAAGTGATTGTAAGTTTCCAAACTTGAAAAGAGGTGGGTCCCATTGTGTCATGAGAAATCAAGAGAGAGATGTTCATGAAGATGAGGAGACTTGTAAGAATTCCTTCAAGACAAATTCCTTAAAAGTGGGGTCCATCATTGTATGAGATGGGAGAAAGTTACTGCAAGTAGGAATTCTTTAAAGACATATTCCTTAAAAGTGGGATCTACCATTTTATGAGATGGGAGAAAGTTACTGCAAGTTCACAGGTTTGAAAAGTGATGGGTCCATTGTGTCGTGAAGATTTAAGAGAGAGCTTGCAAAAATTCTTTAATGGCCTGCAATCGCTGCAGTCCATGTTAGTAATACAGGCGCCTTTAATGGTACAGGCTTGTGTTCAAAAAAAAAAAAATGGTACAGGCGGCTACCATTAATTCTCGTCAATCACAATTGATGCTGAGTTGCATCAGCTCTAATCACAGATCAACTCTCTTTGGTCCTCACACAACACAACATTAATTTCAAACTCCAGGAAAACGACGATGTTCCCGCACTTAAATAAAGCTTTCACTGTGAAGGACTCAACAGGCATAGCGAGAAGAGTTTTCTTGTGAAAGCGCCTTCGTTGAAGTGGTCTGCATAAGAAAGAAGGTTGATTTTGTTTTTTTATCCTTATTCTATATTTTATGTTGTTCCCGTAAATCATCATGTTGCATGTTTTATATCTTATATTTACATGCCTTTATACAAGTTAAGGAGCACATACGAAAAAGGGCCCAAGGAGCACATACGAAAAAGAGCCCAAGTTTAAAGATCAATAATGTAATATAAGTTAAAAAATAAAATTTATTAGTAAAAAAAATTATTTAATTAATTAAAATTTTTAATTTTATTCGTATAAATACTTATAATCAAAAGTTATATTATATATATATATATATATATATATATATATATATAAAAGTATCGTTGACCGTTAGACTATCTTCTCAACGCGTGGTCATTTCTTTTTTATCATGATTGGGCAATAAAGCCTTTGCCTTGACATTTTCATGGGTTCATTAGTGTAGGTAGATATTTTAATGATGGTTATCTCGCATGTGCTAACTAATATCATTTATTTATGCGAGGGACACCATCGCTAAAGGCAACCTATAATCACGTACTCCCCACTAGTGCACTATGACTTTGACAAGCTCGTGAAGTGGCCATGGAATATGGAAATCTTGCATGGTTATACATTTTCAAAATTACCGCGACTAGTTTTGAGCACTACGGTCAGCTCACAAACTACAGTTCTAGTCAAACGACAAGCGCAAAAAAAAAATTGAGTGCACACGTAGGGCGCTTCTCACGATCTGGCACTTGCAGGGGGCAAATGTAGTTCCTAAAAAAAACTTTGAGATACGTGTCTGCACCATAACAGGACAAGTGGCGATGATTATCATTTGACATGAAAATAGAGCCTAACAGAGTTCAACTGGACTGGTATAGATAACAGCGACAAGTGTGACACCTTAGGTGTGACACCCTTGGGCGCAACGACCCTTGGCATGGCACCCCTGAGCGCGACCCCCCTGGGCGCGACGCCTTGAAGCACAATACCACATCAAGGCGAGATACATCTCCATTGCATTGAAAGTGGTCAAATGGACCTTTCACCAAAGTTGAACAGAAATAGAATCGCAAAAGTGTGGGGGCAACCTCGACGAGATTCACCTCGCCCCGCTACGAGAATGATATTCTCAACCTATTGAATGTCGTTGCTCGACTGGCCCACTGGACTAAAAAGGTGTCCCCATCTAGGGACATGGGAGTGTGGCCCTCCTCAAGGGAGCATTGAACAATAGTAGTGGATAAGCATCAATTTTCAACCTCGGCCTGGGGCAGGGTCTCGAAGGTTTAGTTTGCTCGAGCAAACCTCCCAGTGTATGACTCACTGTCCACTGGGATTTGGAAAAACTCCTAAGGTAATTGGGATTATTGGTCCGGGTCAACATATGGGATGATAGGACATATGGATTGGTGACTGAAGGACCGAAACTATATGCGTTTCCGCTATCGGGCACCTCGACAAAGTCTCGAGGAAAAGTCTAGAAAGGGAAAAAAAGACCCCAGGTTGGAGCTTGTTGGTGGCATCGCGAGCATGGTCTTCTCAAGGTCATGGTCCCACGGTGGCCAGTCACAGTCATGGACCTTGGGAGCCCTCTCTCACCTTGATTGTCACACTTTCCTCTGGGCCACGTCTAGGTTGTGTTTGAAAAAACATCACATCTGCCTGATTAATGTTGGGACGCATGGCTCGCCGTTAACGGCTATTGGTATCGTCTCGGTCGAGGCAATTGTGGGTTAGCGCGAGTGGTAGGTGGTCGCAGCGGGGAACCCTTTGGGCAGCCCGACCTGCTCGAGCATTGTGCTATAAATACCCACATTACTTACCCACTGCAAGAGACGGTCTTGTAGCTGGTGAGAGCATATTTCACCTACCTTTTGCCCAACTGGTTGGTCCATTCGTTAACAGGCTGCTCGAATTTCTTTCATCTCATCCACGTATCCTACTCACGCCCTTTGATTACACTTGACATAGACATATGTGTCAACATCTTTTAACTCCCCACCTACACTTTTCATATATTATTTTTTATTATCTAAGATATTTTTAATTTACTTTTATTTTAGATAATGTTTTTCCCTTTTTGCTTCATCGCAAATTTCTCCAAAACTTAATGAAAATTCAATTAAAAGGAAAAGTTAAAACATACCCCCTCCCCCTCTTGTCTTTCTCTTTTGGCCTTGCACCCCTTTTTCACGAGAAAATTGATACTACATTAGTATCATTACGTGGTATTATTATTTAATAATAAATTAATAATAAGAGTATTTTAATTCTTACCTTTTTTTAAAATTCAAATTTATTTGGGTAAAATATTTCTAAAAACCTTCTTTAGTACTAAACTCATACTCATATTAAATGAAGAGAGACTTATTTTTTTTATTAAAATAAAGGGAGACTCAAATTCATATTCAAATCTTTAATGGTAAGATTGTACCCGTTTTTTAAAATTTAATGGTCATATTTTATCCTTTTTTAAATTTGAGTTTATCCTCAATTAAATTTGGATTTCTCTTTTTTTAAATTTGGATTTCTCTATTAGAGAAGTCTATACTAAATAAGTTTTTTACTCAAATTTGAATAAGTGTGTGGATCTTCTCCATAAAAGTCGCAGGACTGGCACTAGACCTGGGCCACTTCAGTGACTGCCTAGCACCCTAACTTTTAAAGATTTCTAGGGGTCCCAAGTCCATTATTTGGCATGACCCAAAAAAAAGTCCATTATGTGACCCATTAATTTTGCCACTGTCACAAGAGATTGTTGTGGCCATAACAAACAAGGCCCATTTTGCAATGGGAGTGGGCCTTAGTTTAACTTGATGATACACAATGAAATCCAATTATCAAGAAGCTTGTGTAAACCCTAAAATCTTGATAATTGTGATATCACGTGACAAGATGATGTAATATCACTAATTAATAATATTAAAACAAATAAGCAGATAGACTCCACAAAAATCAATAACTAACCTTTCATGTAAACAAATAACTTTGAAAGTGTTGTCAGTTAAATACTTTGAATTTATCGATTTTCTTTATCGAGTTTTTTTTTGTTAACTTGCAACTTCTTTTTATTTTTTATTTTTATTAACTTTCAACTTCGTTTTATTTTTGTGGGGTCAAAAAAGTATGCTTTCAATTATTGAAATAAAATTAGTTGTTTGCTCTCATATTGCTAGATTGTGTTTTTTAAAATTTTAGAATTTAATTCAGTTTAAATTTTGAAAAGGTATTTATCATGTTATTATATTTTTTTATTTGCAAATATATATTAACAAGAGTATGTGTAGAAAACATGAATTTGAAAAAAAAAAATTAAAAAAATTGGACACTTCAATTGAAAATACTGATTTTTATAAAAAGATTTAAATTTTTTTTCAAATATATGAATTTCTTATACAATACTGGTAACAATTTTTTTTGGAAAGATGTTTGTCAAATTCTAAATATAGGAATTTAATTGTCCTTTTTTATCTGAAAATACCAAAAATAATAATTTTTAAATGCACATATTTTCAATATTTTGATTTTTTTTAAATAGTGTATATTCTTATATTTATTATTAATAGGGTCTCTTTACAAGTTTACACATTAGGCCCCTATTTGAGTCGGGTCGCCCCTGGTAAATCAACAACTACCCACATATAAGAAAATGAGGTTCACCTTATCCACTATCTATTAATTAGATGGTCATACTAACCATTAGGTGGTAATATATATAGCACATGTCAATATTGAAATGCTAAATAGTTTTTCAGATCAACATACATAAGAACCTAGTAGTGCAATATTACCAAAAAAAAAAGCTAAGCTTAGAACGCTAAATTATGACAGTACACGAAATTATGAAGAAAATACACAATCACGTAAAGTACCTGATGACTTTTTTTTTTTGCCTAAGAACGACCGAGATGATAATAGGGTCGTCAATATTATACACTTAACAAAACATTTCTAAAAGAGGATCCTGAACAATTTTTTGCCCGTTGTGTCTAAAATCTACTCCAATTAGTATCATTTTCAACGATCTTTGTCTGCCCTGTAATCCTCTTTTAGTTGTCTTGTATCACTTTCACTTGCCGTTTCTTGGAATCATGTCTTCAAGGATTGGATAGCTGAAAGCCAGAATTAGAGAGGNGCAATCCTCTTTTAGTTGTCTTGTATCACTTTCACTTGCCTTTTCTTGGAATCATGTCTTCAAGGATTGGATAGCTGAAAGCCAGAATTAGAGAGGAGAGGAAAACCTGTCCAAACATATCCTCAAAGTCTCTCTCAATCACCAACCTTTTCAGCCCACCGACAAAGCATACCAAGTTCAATATGACTAACAATCTCAAAGGGATCATGAACATCTCAGCCCCTTGGAAATCAAATCTCCCATTTTTGTACTTTTCAAGCTTCTCTTGTTCAACTGCTTTGTTTGTTAACCTAAAATTGTCTCTTCTTATGCCTAGTGTCTTCAGTACAAAATCTAGGCAACCAAACAAGCATGCTGTAACAACAGTCATCATCCACATTCTCTGTTCATTTCGCCATGTTGCGAATGAGCCACCAGTAGAGAAAACTTCATAGAGATGATGACAAAGGGAGGATGCATAGACAATTGCAAACACTGCAAACCATGGGTCTGAAACCTAAAACAAGAATTAAGATTAGAGAATTTTAGAATTCAGTAGTGTCATCTTGTGAACAAGCAAGACATTGGTATCACCGCTGCAATGAGTATTTTTTTCCTTTGTTATTGGCTCTTGGCCCCTTTAATTAGAATACATAACAGACTCCTATTTATAGCTAAACTCTTGATCCAAGCCTACAACCAAGCATTGTGAACTCATAAATGCAGATATGACATCCTAAAGTTGACTTTTAATGCATAACAAAAAACATGTCTAATTTGCAAGATCTTTGAAGTTGAACTTAATTTTCACAAAAGCTAGTGTCCGTAAACCATTCTCCGAGATGAAAATGCACTACCTTTTCAACACGAACATGCATATCGAGCAATTGAAATAAGTTATGTTAAACTATTAACTTACCTAAAAGGCTAAGCTTGTAGAAAGATTGTAACCTAAATATTTATATAGTTCAACGAGATCATATTAAGAAAATTTACATACCTCGGGGTACGTGGGGACGCCATTTAACAGGCACAACTGAGGAACAATGGCATATAACAGGAGACCAATGGAGGAAAGAGGTGATAGCTGCATGAACCCATAGCACATGCTTTGAAGTATTGGCATCTTTGACATGCCATATGTTAGAGGGCTGATCCTTGAGAGGCCAATTTGAATCAATCCAGAGGACCATTTCATGAGCTGAAACAATGAATCATTGAGGTCAATGGTGGTGCAACCCAAGAAACATGGCCTTTCTGGATAAAGGTAAGCTGAAGTCCACCCTTTGCAGTGCAAAAGATACCCCGTCATCGCACTCTCCAACAGACAACCATAAGAGTAACCTATCTGCAATTCAAGAAAGACAAAACGAAAAGGCTAGGCATAATGTTTTGAGCGTAATGAAAAAGGGTAGCACTACACTATGGTATGAAAAAATAATTTTTTGGTATTATAGTTCTTTTTATTCAATGAGAACGTGACAAGGATAAAACCTCTATATCTTTTGGTGTCATAGTACTACCCAGAATCTAAGACTGATAAGTACTTGCCTCTTTACCCCATTTGGTGTTTTGATCAAAGGTACAAGAGGCCAAAGTTCTAGCTTCTTCTAAGATTGAATCTGATATAATTCCATCCCCTTTGATATCTTGTTCCTTAGTAGCATTCAGTGAATCAATGAACTTGCTGGACAAACCAAAGTTCTTTTCTGGCTCCAGAAGAAACGCGTCTATAAATCCCAAAAAAAAACACAAAACGAAGGGAAGAAAAAGACTGTTGTTACCACATTATTCCTTCATAATACTAATATTGAAATGAGACTAATACAAATTACAACTGAAATGAGTCAAGTTACGATTCACAAAGTCAAATTATGACTTGGTTGGGGTCAAGTTAGGACTCAAAAAGTTGGGTTTGATCTTTAATATTAGGATCGATTCTAATGTTTTAAGATCCTGTCATTTTAGGATCGATCTCAAATAACCCTATTCTGTTGTGATATCATTCGATTGAGTCGTAATCTCATCGATCTGAATCGTAATTTTTTTGATGACTTCCTGAAACCAATCTTTTTTGATACATAGACTTTCCCTACAAAAATACAACTTAACCAATTATGAAAGATATAGTAGGTACCCTCTTGATTAGGACTCCCATATAATGCCTTTTTCTTTATGTAATAGCCTGTACCAGTGGAAAGTGGACCTCTTAGCCCATCCATGCCTTGCCACTTTGTCTGCATATTGAGAATTACATTATTTAGAAAGACCCCTAAAGTTGTAAACCTTGAGCATGGACTTGCAACAGGGTTATTGAAGATGAAATGAATCTTTGTGCACACCTTATAAGCTGTTCTTGCTTGGCCATCATAGATATCATTCTTACTAACATTGTAGAATATTTGCGGGTATTGTACAAAAGCAAGAGAGGGAGACATCTGGGGGTCAAGATGGAAGCACAGTGCTTGTCGGGCAGACGCAGGGTTATGGCAGTACATGTCACAATCTAACACAAGTAAGTAGGGGGCATTGCTCATTATCCCCGAAATTCGAAGCTGCAACAAAATTTGTACAAATTAATTGTCATTTAATTTAATTTTAGTTCATATGTATATATGTATATTAATATAGATATAGATATATAGAGAGAGTTCAGGTACTTACAAGAGCGTTCAATGCCCCAGACTTGAAACGATGAGGGTAAGATGGTCTTTTCTCTCGGGATACATAAACAAGAAGTGGCATCTTTATTTGGTCATCTTTCCTATTATCATGTATTACCTACAAAACAGAACCTTTTCATATTGACATTACAAGTGATTTTCAGAGATTACAAGTGATTTTGTTTGGTTAAAAGATCTAAGTACAGAGATTTTCAGCTTGATGAGTTTCATCATATATATTTGGCAATTACAAGAGGCTCTCATTTTGGACGTGTCTTCATAGACTCACTGATCTCAGTAAGCTACTTCCAGAGGTTTGTTCATAGACTCACTTATCTAAGTTGCACTTGCACTCTTAAGCTACCACTGATCGGTTTAAGCTTATATAAAAAAGATGTCTATCCACTCACCCTCCATTATACTTTTTTTTTTCAACAACTGTAAATCGATTGTCTTGTATGATTAGAGGTTTCAATTATGAATAGTAAATTTCACGATACATCAATTTAACACGTACCTCAACACAAGGAGGCCGATCATGGACCATGGAGTCATCTATGCCAGCTTTCTCCACATTTTTCTTGAACCATTCATATGCCAACTGCACCAATACTACCATTAGCTTAACATTTATTGACATCGCTTTTATGATGATTAAATTTTAATTTGGGGATTTAATTGATTGTAAACATTAAATTGAAAGTGAACTTCATCNTTATTGACCTCGCTTTTATGATGATTAAATTTTAATTTGGGGATTTAATTGATTGTAAACATTAAATTGAAAGTGAACTTCATCTAATATTATAACTTACCACTTATTCAATGGTTTCATTGAATTATGTCCTGAATTAGGACTTCATCAAAATACAAATTTTTTGTGCAAATTATACTTTGACCTCCAACTATGACTCCCTTTTTACATTGTCCCCTCACTATGATGTTTTTTCCATTACACGCTCAACCATTGTGATTAATTTATATCACCTCAATCATTAACATCCGTTATAAACTTTATGAAAAATTGTTTCATTTTACCTTTGAATTAGTTGATTTTTTTTTCACTTTACCCCATCACATTGACAACTTCTATCCAAAAGGATAGCGAACGTATGTGATTGAAGTAATGTGAAAAAATTCAAATAATTTAAGATACAATGTGAAAAAATCAATAGTTCAAGAGATAAAGTGAAATCTAGTTCATAGTTAAAAGGTCAAAGTGTAATTAGCCCATGTTTTTGCCAGCAAAATGTAATAATGGTCCGTGTTTTGCTTGAGACTTCATTCTTTCAATCTTGTCGTTTTGGTCCTTCAATTTTTATTTTTCTTTTTTGTCAATTCGTTCCAATAAAAAACTTCATTTCGAATTGACCAACAGAAGTCTCACTTAATCACACTTAATGGACCAAAGCAACATAAATTAAAAACTTGAGTGGCTGAAATAAAAATATCAAAAGAATAAGGACCAAAGTAGCAATTAATAACCTGGGACTTTTAGGAATCAAATTCACCTAAAAGTGATCACTTGAGCCGAAGGTGACTAATTTCATTAGTCAACTTATACTGATGTTTTTTTTTTTGGTTCAACGGTCAAGAATATTCAAATTAATTTATGTGCACTTTAACTAATCTCTTTGCAATCCGATCAAATACATGTTATCCACGTTTGAACTAAAATATTTAATTGATATTTTCGATTAGATCAAAATAGGGCAAACTGAAACCAGGGGCGAAGCCAGAAAATCGTTCCAGGATGACCACGAATATTTTAACAAACTATTTTTTTTTCTTACAATATATAAAAATAGGATAATAATTTATATTTAATTATATCCTATTTAACACTTAAAAAGTTCATTAAACTCAATAGACCAAAAATTGGTAAGCCTAGTATATACAAACAACAGTAATAAAAAAAAAACTAATTATATCATTTTACAAAATATAGGTTAATTAAAATTATTTAAAAATTGAGTCGGATGAATTTTTATCCTTGAAAATCATTACATAACAATTTTATTATTCTTTATATACATAATCATATTATCACTTTGGTATTTATCACTCATTCGATTATACAATTCAATGTGCACTCTATAATGCCTACTGTAATTAGCAAAATAAATGTCAAAATCAAAAGTAAATTAGCTAATATATATCATGTCTTTTCTAATCTCACGAAGTATAAATTGATCTTTGTATAATCAAAATTTATCTAGATAGGTAATAAAACAGGAGTGTGTTTGAATTTTGTATCAGTCATATTTTTTCCTTCAAAATCATCATCAATCACTTACCTCATCCATCATCATTTTGTCAAATTTAAAGGTCAAATCGTATCACTTATTTATATCACTTATTTATATCATATGTTTAATCATTTATATATTTCTTTCCTAAAAACATCACATCACTCATTTTTATCATATAATTAATCATTTAATATTTAATTAATTTATAGTTAATATATTTTAAAAAAAATTAATATAATGGGATTGATTTTTTGGACGCTCAAATTTTAAATTTTACCTTGTTTTCATGAACGGATTGTGACTAGTGTTATCTTAAAATACATGTATATAATATTAAGGAAAAAATTTTGAAGGTCGGCTTTTAAGATATTTTTTTTTATTGAAGTGACACCATCTCATATATGGCAACTTCACCGATTTCCCGTTTCGGCCACCTAGAAGTATAAAAAGAATATTAAATAGCGGCCTCGTGCAATGCTTCTGTCACTGAATTACGGTCTGAAAAGAGTCAAATCTATTTTTACANTAAAAAGAATATTAAATAGCGGCCTCCTGCAATGCTTCTGTCACTGAATTACGGTCTGAAAAGAGTCAAATCTATTTTTACAGCTCAAATTATTGACACCAAATCACTTGTACAAGCTTATAGTTACGGCAAGACTTATCCCTAAAAACACTGTTATCAAAAACTGATTCGGCTGGTCAGATCAATGAACTTGGAGACCTTCATCGGTCAAGTTCACCAAAAAGATCAGTTGTGCAATCAAATGGTAAAAGAATTGAAAAATCTGTTAATTTTAGTTAAAATTAATTCTTAAAGCCAATCCAATCGGTTCAAAACTTAAAACCATTCCAAAAAAAATGAATTGTAAACTTCAATACATATATGTCTGTGGGTGTGGGTGTTGGGGGTTGGGTGTTGGGTTCGAAAAAAAGGAAGCAAAACGGACGAGACACTCTTTATTAGATTTGCACTCAATTTTATTCTACATGTATCATTGAATAAAATTAAATAAAAATATAGTTAAGAGGATTCGGATCAAAGTACAACCTAGTTAGCTTCATACCTTGATTTTGTCTTCCTCTTCCTTGAATTCATCACTCCAAAGAAGACGTTCATCATCACCAAACGATGAAAAATAGGCTTCAGGGCATCTAGTCTTGATTCCATATTTTCTGCAAAATGGAAGCCAAGACCTTGCAAAACAACAAGCTTCTTTCATGGCGAACAATGTCAAGGCACAACCACCATCGTCGGAAAGATATACGGCTAGTTTTTCTGGTGGGTAGTCCAGCGCCATGGCAGACACCACCGTGTTCATCACCTCAATCACTGGCTCCTTCTTAGGATCACAGGTGCATATGAACACGTCAATACCTGGCAACTCCTCGTCCCCGGGGAGATTTTCTGGGTAAACGGCCCGTGTCACGGGCCGCCACCGAAANTATGAACACGTCAATACCTGGCAACTCCTCGTCCCCGGGGAGATTTTCTGGGTAAACGGCCCGTGTCACGGGCCGCCACCGAAAAGCTTGATTGAGGAACCATATGAAGCTTAGATTTAGCTCGGCGATGAACATGAGCAACCATGAGAGGACTGGTACATCTCCATGGAAGAGGTGAGAGATTCTGTAGTAGAGAAGGGCTAATACNTCAATACCTGGCAACTCCTCGTCCCCGGGGAGATTTTCTGGGTAAACGGCCCGTGTCACGGGCCGCCACCGAAAAGCTTGATTGAGGAACCATATGAAGCTTAGATTTAGCTCGGCGATGAACATGAGCGACCATGAGAGGACTGGTACATCTCCATGGAAGAGGTGAGAGATTCTGTAGTAGAGAAGGGCTAATATGGCTATAAGGTGGAAGAAAATGTGAAGTCTGTTAATGGTGGCTCGAGTTTGGTGGACTGTGTAGGAGTGAAGAGAAGAGGTGGCCATTTTCATGTTGTCACTCAATCAAAGGCTTCTTATAGGATGGGTTGATACTTGTAACTTCTAGAATGACAGGATTAGGCACTACTGTCTAGAAATACAATATTCGATTTTTAAAATTTAATAAAATTTACTCACCTAATAAATAATATGCATTTAAGTTATAATTTTTTAAATTTTATTTAAATTAATCGTACTTAACTNATGTGAAGTCTGTTAATGGTGGCTCGAGTTTGGTGGACTGTGTAGGAGTGAAGAGAATAGGTGGCCATTTTCATGTTGTCACTCAATCAAAGGCTTCTTGTAGGATGGGTTGATACTTGTAACTTCTAGAATGACAGGATTAGGCACTACCGTCTAGAAATACAATATTCGATTTTTAAAATTTACTCACCTAATAAATAATATGTATTTAAGTTGTAATTTTTTAAATTTTATTTAAATTAATCGTACTTAACATGATGTAATCACTAGTTTAACGAATGCATGGTTTCAATTTTTCCAAGTTATTATAAAAAAGGAAAATTCTATTGTATCGAAAAAAAAATTGGTATAAATAACATCAACTATCATTTTTTATGATAAAATTATAACTTTCACAAAGAATAATGTTATGCAACTCAAATTTAGGATCTCAAATGTCATCCCAAATTAATAAGAATTATTAAATTAGTGGGTCCTATTTTAAAAAATTGATAAAACTCACTTATCCAATAATCTGTTTATTTGAGATCCAAATTTAGATTGCATAATATTTTTTTAATGCATAACCCTAAAATTTGCATAAAAATAAAAATAAATGAATGAAGGTAGGTTGGTAGTTGCTTTCCAAAGTGCTGATAAAAATAAATGTAATACTGTTTGTGTTTGGCATATTATTTGGACGTTTTCATTAAGACATTGATATATAGTACACGGCAGTTTCAACTCTTCTAAAAGATTTGACCTTTACCCATTTATTTATGAGTAACGTTATACGAATTTAAAAATTAGAATTCATTTTTAGTACTGCATCAAAAGTTAGTAATTTTATGATAAAATTATAATTTATAAAAGAGAAGTTATACCTGCTCAGATCAAGGATTCATAATCGATCATAGACTTCTCCTTAACAGTTATAATTTCTTTCCTTTGAGTTGTAATTTGACATTTAAAAGTTGTAACTTACACTTTAAAAAAATTATAACTTTTACTTCAAAAAAATTGTAATTTAACCTGAAATTGTTGTAACTTTCGATACAATTCCTCCTTCAATACCGTAATCTTTTTCTACATTTAAAAAAAAATATCACTTTCCCCTTCAAATAGTAAATATTCGAATGATGAATTTCATTATATATTATTCTTTCCTCACAAATTATGCCTCAAATTAGGAAACAAAATTGTGGATTTTTTTGTTGTTTTGGGGCGTGCAGGGGGAGAGGGGGCACATTTTAGAAAAAAAATCTTACATAGCAAAATGATGGTATATTAATTTTATATTTAAAAAATAAAAAATCATAATCTAGTGCACAATTTGAAGAGACGTAATGGTGCGTAGCCCTACATCAAAGATAGAGAGACCGCTTTCAAAACTTAAATAATAGGGAGAATTACACCAAACCTTCTGATATTTGTCAATTAATCATTCAGACATTCTGATATTTAAAATATTATACACAGACCTCCTAAAATTTATATGCGCGTAACATTTAATCACTTGCTATAAATATATTCTTTAATAAATTACATCTAGTCCTCTTGAAGTTTGTAAACATATATTAATTAGACCTCTTAAATTTAAAATGTTATACTTATACCAAAAATATTTCAATCAAAGATAAAATGTCAAATATTTTAAATTTTACAATTAAAATTCATGTTATATTGTATCATTTATTGAAATAAAATTAAAAATTAAAATTAAATTTTTTCTTAAAAAATCGTAATTAGTATACAATTATATTATCTAATTGAAATTTAATTTGGTCGTTTAAACGACCAAATTAAAATACCAAATTACCCCAATTAAAGCTAAAAAATATTGTGTCAATTATAATTTGATCTCTTATTTAATTTTTAAATTTTATGCTAATGCACAATATAATTATATACTAATTATGATTTTTTTTAAGAAAATAGATTTTTAATTTTAATTTTATTTTAATAAATGACATAATAGAACATGAATTTTGAATGTTTCATGTTCTATAATGAATGACTTTGACCCCTTGTTTGATTTTTAGTTTTATTCCAGTATATAGTATAATTGTATACTAATTACAATTTTTAAATAAAAAAATAAATTTTTAATTTTAATTTTATTTTAATAAATGATACAATATAACATGAATTTTGGTTGTAAAATTCAAAATATTTGATATTCTATTTTTAATTGAAATATTTTTTATTTAAATATAATATTTTAAATTTAAAAGGTCTAAGTATTATGTACTTATAAACTTCAGGAGAATCTAAGTATAATTTAGTAACGTATATATTTACAGTAAGATTTTAAGTGTTACACGCATATAAATTTCAATAGATCTATGTGTAATATTTTAAATATTAGGGAGTCTGAGTGATTAAGTGACAAATTTTAAATAATTTAAATTAAGTGACAAATTTTAAATAATTTAGATGTAATTCTCCTTAAATGATAATACGGCCAAGAAAGAAAGATAAGAAAAAAGATCGTACAAGATAGACAGAATGCTTTATTAGTCTTGTCGTTCCTTATTCCTTTGTTTTTTGTGGCCATTTTCATGTTGTCACTCAATCAAAGGCTTCTTATATGATGTGTTGATACTTGTAACTTCTAGAATGAAAGGATTAGGCACTACTATCTAAAAATATAATATTCGTAGTTTAAAAATTAATGAAATTCACTCACCTAATAAATAATATGTATTTAAATTATAATTTTTTAAATTTTATTTAAATTAATAGTACTTAACTTGACGTAATCACAAGTTTAACGAATGCATAATTGCAATTTTTCAAGGTCATTAATTGTATAAATACCATCAATTATTATTTTTTATGGTAAAATTATAACTTTAAAAAAAATAATACTATGCAACCTAAATTTAGGATCCCAAATGTCATCTCAAATTAATAAGAATCATTAAATTAGTGAGTCTTATTTAAAAAAATTGATAAAACTCACTTATGCAATGATCTGTTCATTTGAAATTCAAATTTAAATTGTATGTTATTTTTCTAATAGAAAACCCTATAATTTACCTAAAAATAAAAATGAATGAATGAAGATAGGTTGGTAGTTGCTTTCCAAAGTGTTGATATCTACTTTTTAAAATAACAATCTTATAAATTAGGTGTAAGAAAGTAAAAAAATATTATGAAGCGTGGATTATAGATTTATCCTGAGCAATTATAATTTTTCTCTTTTGAGTTGTAATTTGACATTTAAAAATTATAACTTACACTTCAAAAAAATTATAATTTAATCTGAAATTGTTATAACTTTCGGTACGATACTTCCTTCGGTACCGTAGTCTTTTCCTATATTTTAAAGATTCCCCTTCAAATAATAAATATTCGAATGATGAATTTCATTATATATTACTCTTTCCTCACAAATTAGGAAACAAAATTGGGAATTTTTTTGTTGTTTTTTTTTTTTGGGGGGGGGGACATTTTGGAAAAAAAAAATCAGCAAAATGAGGGTATATTAATTTTATATTTAAAAAATAAAAAAGCATAATCTAGTGCACGATTTGAAGAGACGTAATCGTGCATAGCCCTGATCGAAAGATAGAGAGACCACTTTCAAAACTTAAATAGTAGGGGGAATTACACCCAAATTTTTTGATATTTGTCAATTAATTATTTAAACCTCTTAATATTTGAAATATTATATATAAACCCTCTAAAATTTATACACGCGTAACACTTAGACACTTGCTGTAAATATATTCGTTAATAAATTATACCTAGATTTTTTGAAGTTTGTAAATATATATTAGTTAGATCTCTTAAGTTTAAAATGTTATATTTACACCAAAAATACTTCAATCAAAGATAAAATATCAAATATTTTAAATTTTACAATTAAAATTCATATTCTATTGTATCATTTATTGAAATAAAATCAAAAATAAAAATTAAATTTTTTTCTTTAAAAATTAAATTCTTTTCTTAAAAAATCATAATTAGTATACAATTATATTATCTATTGTAATTTAATTTGGTCGTTTAAACGACCAAATTAAAATACCAAACTATCTCAATTAAAGCTAAAAAATATTGTGTCTATTATAGTTTGATCTCTTATTTAATTTTTTAATTTTATTCTAATAGACGATATAATTATATACTAACAATAAATTTTTTTAAGAAAATAGATTTTTAATTTTAATTTTATTTCAATAAATGACATAATAGAATATGAATTTTGGATGTTTCATGTTCTATAATGAATGACTTTGACTCTTTGTTTGATTTTTTAGTTTTATTCCATTAGATAGTATAATTGTATACTAATTACGATTTTTAAATAAAAAAATAATTTTTTTAATTTTAATTTTATTTTAATAAATGATACAATAGAATATAAATTTTGGTTATAAAATTTAAAAAATTTGATATTCTATCTTTAATTGGAGTATTTTTTGTTTAATTATAATATTTTAAACTTAAGGGATCTAAGTATTATACACCTACAAATTTCAGGGGAATCTAAGTGTAATTTATTAACGGATATATTTACAGTAAGGGTCTAAGTGTTACGCGCGTATAAATCTCAGAGGGTCTATGTGTAATATTTTAAATATCAGGGAATTTAAGTGATTAAATAATAAATTTCAAATAATCAAGATGTAATTTTACTTAAATAATAATAGCTCCAAGAAAGATAAGAAGAAAGATGGTAGAAGGTAGAGAGAAAGCTTTATTAGTCTTATAGTTCCTTAATCCTTTGTTATTGTGTGGTCATAGGCATCACAATTATAGATATTTTATTCTTATAGGATCACTACTCATAATTCGTATCTGAAGGCGCGATAAAACAT